TTCCTCAGTCATAGGAAGGTCTTCTGCCAACAAACGGCTCTCTTCAGATAGCGTGGAAGCACGAAGCCACGCATGTCGCCGTATGGCCGTGGCAGAGGCAAGAAGCTTGCCCGATGTCTCAGCCATATGTTTGGCGAAGTCTTTCTGCAATCTAGAAAGAATAAGTGCCTCAGCCTGATATGCCCTGGGAAGACGTCGGTCTTCAGCTGGCAGGAGATTGATATAGGGCAGCATATTGTTCCAGAGAAAACTCTGGTATCCGCTGAAATAAGTGGCATAATGAACCATCCTGGCAAACAATCCCGCAGCCACATGTATTTTCTTCCCAAGGGAGTCAATCTTTTTGCCCTCCTTATCTGGTGGTGTTATTGAATACTTCTTAGGTCTTTTTGACCTAGCTGCCTCCGCCACCACCGTATTCGGTAATGTAGGATGGGCAATCCAACTCGCTAATGACAAATCAACTTTGTAGAGAAGATCGACCCTCCTAGGAACTGCAGGAGCAACCGACGGGGAAACATCAGRAACTTTARTTAACTTTAACAAGTATGGAAGAGTCGGGAGTAACAAGGACGGTGAACTGTCCTGCTCCTCGGAAGGGTACATAGGATCATCTACTGTGGAGGCCGGTTTTGGGGCCGGAATGTCCAAAGCAGTTATCATCCTGCCAATTAACTGAGCAAACACGTTATAGTCCTCTATACGCTTTGCGTTGGAAGTCTGATCCTTCTCAGCATTGGGAGAGTCCACTATTTCTACCGAAGAATCCGATTCGCCATCCTCAAGTGGAGGCTGATCTTCAGAAATCGATGGCAGTGGAGTATGTCTCTGATCACAGCAAGCCCCCTGATGCCTATGCCGCACAGGGAAAACTTCTTGTCCTTGCAGCTGTTTTCCTGCATGTTTTCTAGATCCATAGTCTGTATTACCATATTTAGAACAGTAAATACCCCCATGATGTGGGGCAGGTGGTGGGCCACAATAAATAAAGCGCCCCTGGGGAGTTATCTCATACATTCCCGGGTGAGGAAGGGGGCGTCCACTGTCACTTTGATCCTCCCGATAAGCTCTGGAGGTTGATCTTGCCCTCCGTGCGCGCGCAAGCCTGCGCTTCCTTGCAGAGCAGGAGGAATCTGAGCAAGAAGTAGAAGAAGAGGAGGAGGAGTCGCTGGAGCTCGAATCCCGGCGCCTTCGCTTCTTATTATGTGAGCGCGATGGAGCGCGCGCCCGACGCCGCGTCAGGGCTGCAGCAACGGCCTTCCCCGATGTCGAGGGAAGCGTTGCTAAGGACGCCCGTGCTGGCTCCTCCCCTAAGCTAACAGCTGATGCTGCAGGAGGAGCCGGCGCCGAGAGCGTCGGCATCGGGGGCGTCATGTTTTCCTCTTGCGCACGCGCGGGGCGTGCCTTAGTCGTCGAGTCCCTTTCAGTTTCATTTTCCTCCTGAGCTCGCACGGGGCGAGCGGAGGTCGGCGCCGGCTCCGTTCCGGCAATGCAGCCACGTGGAGGGGTCTCTATTGCCCTTTCAAGGGGAGAGACCAACAGAGAAGGCGCGGCCTCGGTTCCAGCCGTTTTCGGGGGTCTCGCCGAGGCCGCCTTGGCCTGAATAGCCTTCTTCGCCTTAGGCTTCTTCAGCGCCGCATGCAGGATCGCCATGTCAGGTAAGGGTTTTTCTTTGTGTTGTTGCATATCGGGGAGAAGAGCCCGTTCATAAAGGGCAGCTTTCAAGCGAATCTCCCTATTTTTCCGGGTTTTAGGGGTGAAGGACTGGCAGATGGAGCATGCCTGTGTTAAATGTCCTTCACCCAGGCAAGCGATGCACAGGGAATGTGCATCGTTATCGGGAAAGTTGCCCTGGCATGCAGAGCAACGCTTAAATCCTTTGGTACTAGCCATATTACTAGTAAAAAAATCAATGCTAGAGAGAGAAAAATTCCGAGCTGCTGCTTATTAGTGCGGATGAAGAGATCTGGAGGCGGTTGACCAGCCGCGGGCTATTTATAATGTACTGGGGAGTGTGCACGGGGCCAACCGCCGATTTTTTTAAATCTTAACTGAAGATTCCGGAGCGATGCTGCGCATGCGCAGAAGTACCATTAGTGCGCATTCACAGCACACTCACGTAGGGAAACTGGTATTTCTATAATATCAAGAGATAATCCAGATAAGGCACAGGAGAGCTACAGTCCAAATGTGGTTTTTATATTAATTGCTGCTAGAAGTTTCAACCTTGGAGGGAGATAGGACTACCTCTTCCCCACCTTGCTTCCCTTCCCCATTTTAAATCCTTCCACAAAAGCTATGATTTGCCCTGCAAAAGGTAACTTGTACTGCAGTTGCTTTGTGTAACTTCACAGAAACACTGCATGTTTTGCACCATAGCTTTTGGATTTTAAAATCTTGTGCAAAATACAGATCTGATAAAAAATAAGTCAATGACTCATCTCCAAAATCAAATGAAAGGAGCAGAAGAACCTAATTTCTGTGCTGTATCTCTTGAGGCTACAATATTGACAACAGAATAAATAACTTTATTTACTATATTTGCAACAGTTCACTAAAAAAGCATAAATCCAAATTACATTGACATTGACATATTATTACATTAAAGTGCAGTTACATGAAAGCAGGGACAAAGGTGACCTCACTTGTCTTCAACCTATTAACAAGCACGCACTCGTATGCAGCAATATGTTGACTCACATACAGACTCACTCACACAATGACAATTGGTATTGACAAATTCTGCCCCTAATACCTGTCGCACACAAGAGCTTTGTTCTCCTAAAAACCCTCCACCATGATTGCCTTACAGTTGTGCCCTGCAGAGTTACTTGCACTCTGAGAAGAAAGAAGGCAAACCTTGTGATTTCTTTTTCATATGGTAGGTAGGTGAAGGGGCTCATTTATTAAACAGCAAAAAGAGTTGCATAGACTCTGGGTAGAATAGCACAAACGGTAAGTTTACAAATGGGACCCAACAAAATATATTAGTATGAAATATCTTGGTTCTTGGGTTCTGGTTAAAATCCGTTGCTTGAAAATCCTGGTGCCTGACTCCAGCAATCTCTATGTGAGACTATCAATATAACTTTCCCTATGCAGATGGCATTTCCACTTCATTTTAGGAGGGAAGGCTGATCCTTCACACATATGGCTTGGCACGATCTTTTGAATTGACTGAGAACCTTAATCTATGCAAAAAGATATAGACATTTGAGTACGTACAGGGCTCCGTATCTTTAGGCTGCTGCAGCTCATTTCATTTGTGAACACATACACCTTGTATTGAAGTGTCTCCTGTGCACACACACATATTTACACACATACTTTATATAAAAACAGAAGGGAACAAGAGAGATCATCAAATATAAAATAGTTAACCATCATTTGGCAGTATGCAAGTTATAGCAGATACCTAATCAAAGCCAGTGCTGAAACTTGCAAGTATTCAACCACAATAAGAGGTAAGATTTCTTTACTCCTTCGGAGTTAGCAAAGGAACTGTGAAAACATTAACAATTGCCATTTAATGCATAGATTTTTCAGATATCATTTCTCATACAGAGGTTTTGGCTCAAGCGAAGGAACTCAAATGCTGGATTCAGTCAATAATATGATGTCTTGTTATAAAAGTGAGCAAACATGTAAAGACTCTTCTGTGTTCAGAGGAAAACAGATAAACTGAAATGCTACCCATGTCCTGTCTCACTTGGTGCAATTATCTCCTTAAATCAACCCCACCCTCCCTGTCTGTCAATTATTTCTTCAATAGTCTTTCCCATCACCTAGTTAAATTTCTATCCCCAAGAAATTACAACTGGTAGAATCTTTAGAATGCTGGAGATAAAGGGAAATGGTTTTGCCTAATTTAGATGTACTTTAAATAGAACAGCCTCACTCACCTTCTGACAAACAGTTTTTGAAATAGAGAGAGTGGGAACATATAATGGTAGTGCCTTTTCTTCCTCCCATACACCATAATAGTAAAAGCAGTTTGTTCTCCAGGACCAGAGGTTAATTGCATCCTGAGATATATTAATCCAGAGCATTACTTTTATTGGAGCCATGTCATTTCTCCCTAGTGCCTAATTCAGAAGCACATATACAGCCCTTTTAAGCTCTGCAGTGAACCCACAGAAGTCAGCATCATGGGACAGACATTGTCTATCTACCTAAAAGCAAGGCAAACAATAGACATGGCCTGAATTACATAGAAGGTCTGACAGAAAATACACAACCTTTTATGTGCTATCAGTACACTGAATTTTCAAATAAATTCCTTTCAATTAATTCAACCAAACAAAAATATTTATCAACAATTGTGACCCCCATCTTTAAATATACTTTAATTTAAATAACTTGGGTGTGGTTACTCAACATTCAATTGTTAGTAGACCAAATATTAATTGAACTGCTAAAGAATGAATGAATGAAATGCCTTCATAGAAGAACCAGTTGACAGATCTATCAGTTGATCCCACTTTTGTAAAACTGTTTTGCAGACACTACTGGCAAAAATGCCCTTGCCAATCTTTTCCAAGGCAGCCTGATCTTTACTTACCATTTCTGAATTACTGTTCCGGGTCAACAGATGGTCATCTCATTTTGCTATTCAGGTCAATAAATCACTAGTTATATGGTAGATTCGCTCACATTTGGCTCTGTATCTTAGTACCCCCCCCCCCAAAAAAACCAACCTGTACTCCAATCCAAGCTTGCCTTAATGTCCGTGATGTAGTTTTTAACTTTGATTTGTTTATATAACCCTACTACCAAAATGTGGGACAGTGGAGATTCATGCCAAAGACATTATTACTTTGGTTAGATGTCCTGGTAAAAATTTAGCACAATTTTCTTAGCACTTTCTACTTTGTGTCTTAACATCTGCAGCTGAACATGAAGGACAACTACCCAGGAAATAAGAACTTTGTATATGGATCCAATAAAGAGAAACTAATATTAGCTCCATTTATCATGACAGAAATCCAGAGGCTGGCTTTGAAACCACTGGGAATTAGCTTCCTAAGTGACACACACAGGGATACAGGAGTGGGACAATCTAAGGCCCCTCAGATGTTAGTAAAATATTACTAGAGCCTAGAGGTTCTCTTCAGTCATTGTTCTTGGAGGGTCAGGCTGACAGGAGCTGGGACTCAAACAACATCTGGAGGGTTGTACAGCCTATCAATCCCTTCTAGAGACGATGGTACAAAAGTGGGAGAGAAGATTAAGCCCTGCTCAAGCATCCCCACCTATGATTTGGGTCTGTGCAACATGGGTACAGTATACCAGTGGGCTGCCAAGTAACTCATCTTGCACACCTGCTGTTCCTCTTTGGCAGTTATTTGGTAAATTCCCATCTGAAAACAGATGGGGTCTGGCATGTGCCTCAGAACTCAGAAGAGTTTTTTGGACTGTTGCCTCCAGTGACATGCATACTGGTTATGGCCAATTATTTGGGAAATTCTGGTAGTTGTAGTCTAAACACCAAAATGTTAAAGTTCTGGAATAACTCGAGCCAAAATTACATGTAAACTTTGTAGTCTTGTTTATGTAGGTAGGTGTTACTCATACAGGGTCTAAAAACTTTACCAAATCCTAGCTTTCCCTTCCACAGTAACTGTAATTGTGTACAAATGCTTAGAATCCCCAGCCCACCTTTAAAATGCTCTTTGTTCAGGCCTGCATTTACCATGGTGACAAAATAACAACACACAGGAGTTGAAATGAGACTCTCATGACTGCTTCAACCACTAACAAGTCTAGAGTTTCTTTCCAAATGTGGGAAACAGTCGAAATGATTTTTAGCAAACATCACATATCCAATTAAACCTTTTTCTCCACTAAATCCAACATCTCCCAGATGTTGTCTTTTGCCATTTGATGGCCTCAAAATCACTTTTGCAGCTATTGTGACTCTGAGAAAGCAGGAAGACAACAGTATCCTGCCTCTTCTCTAGTCTCATTTTGAAGAAGAATTAAGGATAGCAGGAGGCAAAACTGCCTTCTTCATCCTTTGCATCTTCCATTAAGTCTATCTCACGGCATGAAAGAGCTGACAGTTCCATTAATGCTTCATCATGGTTAAAAAATAGGGGCAGTACACCGTTTTGTCAAAATGTATTAGCACCTTTTTCATAAAAGATTTTTAATTCTGACTGCACAGGTCTTTATGTGCTACTTCGCCTCTGGTTTAATCTAGAACTCATATATCAGAGGCATGCTTCCTCTGGAAAGAAAGCCATGGAAACCATGAAAGTAAGACACATTTTGAAGGGGCTATATTTCAAGCAGAGGGTCAGTAAGGTGTGGAAAGGAATTTGCATTCTTGCTTGCTGCCTTCTTCGAACGACAAAGAAGTTTCAGTTTGTTTTTACATAATTTGGGAGCAGCCATCGTAAAGTGTCCCAGGAAGCAACACAATGCCTTTCTTGGTATTAGTATATTATTTCTAGTAAAAAGGACAATGAAAACAAACAAAAAATGAATAGCATAAAAATACACTGACAAACCAAAAGCTGTTGAAAAATTGTACATGTTATCAAAATTGGATTAGGGCTGAATCAAATGATCTACACGGATTTGGGAAAGGAGAGGTACTGAAATCTTTCTGAAGATGACCAAGTCCCTGAGATTTCTCCTTACTAAGCCAACCCTACTTAAAGCAGACACAAACATGGAAGATACATTGAAGTGTACCACATACACACACACACAACCAGACAATTATTTCACCTGTGTTAAAGGGGAAGTTTATATATAATTCCTCTCAAGTTAAAATGTTTTAATCCACGTGAACATTTTCTGGTGATGCATAGCGGGACTTCTACATGTGTTTAGAAGGCCATTTGTTTAGCTTGCAAAAGTAGTTACACCCAAGCGATTTAATTTGAAGATCTGTCCATTTTACACCAGGGAGAAAAGGTTTCCTAATAAGCCAGCTTCCAACGAGTGATTTCATGAGCTGGTTGGCCTCCAGTGCCCAAATAAGATGGCCCAGCCCTAGACTAGTCCTACTTATGAAATAAATAACAGTGTTGAAATTATCTCAATCTCTTTCTAAACATTTTGACATTCATTCTTGTCACACTCACACACATGTTTCTGGGTTAGTTACAACTTCCCCATTTTTTTCATTTTTCAGAAAGTGTTCCACTTCAATAGAGTCCACCTTCGTGTCTCCAGGTTGTTTGTTTAACTCCTCTCGTTCTGCTGCATCTTCTTTTACATGTGTTTCCACTGGTCTTTTGATACAGCAGGCATTTCCTACAGCCAGCACCACGGCTGAAGTGACAACTTCAGTGCCAGCGATAATAAAAACAAACATATATTTGTGGGTCCAATCCAAGAGTTTGCCTGGAAAAGAAAATGGATATCTTCAACAGCATATTCAATCAAACACAGTTCTACATTAGGGCTGACATGAGCTGTTTTAAAGCAATAGTATTAGATACATTCTTAGCACACATTTGGGTGTGTGTGTGATTAGTTATCTCTCAAAAGAACCCCCTCAAATGTCCGCATGAAGTGCTCCCAATGAAAGATTTTGTCCTTATCAAAATTAATTTTGTGGGGACGAAAAAATATGCTATTTGTAGATCTGGCATCTCAAGGAACAGGCATAACTGGGCTACTAGTTTTAACTGGGCAAATACAGTCCTGGCCATAGCCTGGGCATCTAGGCTTGGATCTGAATCCAGGAGCACACCCAAGCTGCAAACCTGAGGCTTCAAGGGCAGGTTGAATGACCCAGCACAGGATGAATCCCTACTCCATGTGTTCACTGGGACCAATGCGCGTTGATCCTGTTGTGCATTGGTTCCATTAAGTACCTGTCATTTTACTGCTTCCTCTACATAGTAAAGTAACAGTAGCCTTTGACTGAGTATGAACATTACAGATCTAATTCCATTGTCTTCAGATGTAAGTCCATTTATGAAAACATAAGTACCCAACCAAATTCTGGCCTGTTTCTTAAGCAATATTTTGTTTTTCTTTACTATCCAGGCCAGAAATTAGGATATGGGTTAATGGATTCAAACTATAGAAAAGGCAATTCCATCTAAACATTAGAAAGAACTTCCTAATGGCAAGAGCTGTTCAATAGTAGAATATGCTGCCTCAGAGTGTGATAGTCTATTTCTTTGTAGGTGTTTTTAACAGAAGCTGTGAGAGTGCTTTGATTGTGTATTCCTGCATGGACTGGATGGCCCTTAGGGTCTCTTCCAACTCCGGATTCTATGATTCTATATATGTTATGAGCTGCATTGGACCCCATGTCAGGGAAAAGGCAGAATAAAAATATTATAAGAAGTGTGTAGATAGCTTCAAAACAAAGGCTGTCTTCCATTTCCTCAACATATAATGAACTGCCTCCAATGGTAATTCTTATCACCTTTCTTCTTTTCCCACAAAGTGCCCCCATTACTAAACTACAAATTAGCTAAATGAAACATACCTGCTGAAGGTGGTCCAACTAAAACAGCCATTGCCTCAACCAAGAGGACTAAGCCAATGGCACTGGAAAACTTCTGTGTACCAACAATAGCCATGAGAACTTCAAACTGAAGAGCACCGACCATTCCATAGGAAATGCCAAAGAAAATACAGAAGACAACCAGACCACTGTAGTTGTAGGACATGGATCCCATCAGATCAGTAAAGCCATTAAAAAGCATGGCAAAACTAAAGAGGTAGACGCAGCGGGGCCTAACCCACTGCAGGCCAGCCACTATTCCGCAAATAGGCCGAGCAACTATATCAATTAATCCAAGAATGGTCAAAAGGAAAGCCGATTTGGTGTCCTCATACTTCAGATCCTTAGCATAGCTCACCACAAACACAGGGGGCACAAATAAGCCCAGCACCATGATGGATGCAGCCACTGTGTAGATAAGGAAGCCACGATCCCTGAAAACGCTGAAATCCAATAGCTTTTTCTTGACTTGTTTTTCAGTGGCCCCTTTGGAAGCTTCGGGTTTTTTAGGAGCCTCCAAAGGTCTCATCAAAGCTCCACAAACACAACAGTTCAAGAGTAGTCCTCCCAAAATGAGAAATCCCCCTCGCCATCCATAAACGGGTTGCAGTATCTGTCCCAAGGGTGAGAGAGCACATAGGAAGACTGGGCTTCCAGCTGCAGCCAAACCATTGGCCAATGGCCGTCGCACATTAAAGTAGCGATTGAGCATGATGAGCGATGGCTGGAAGTTGAGTGCCAGGCCAAGTCCTGAAAGAGAACATACGTTACAGTTTAAACTACAATATACAATACAAAGCAAGTCACTCAACAGTGCAGAATACACAAATTGCCCAGCTATGGCCTCTTACTCTAGCAATTCATTGTGAGCCACAAGGAGAGATGTGGAGCAACTTAGTTCAAGCTACATCTGAATCCTGGGAATGGGAACAACTGGAATCTACAGTTCTGTTAAACACTTACAAAAGGGCAACAAAAGGTTGTGTTTTAAGTATGAAATATTCTGCTTCCCAGAAAAGTATAACCGCACTCACATACACATTTGAGAGACTTCATTAGATTTCATTTTTTAGATTTCAAGACTTTTTGTTATTTTAGAACAATATTAAAGAACATATCATTAATTTAACAGCCATAGTGGTAACCAGACCAGCAGTGAACTTATACTGGCCGCAGCATGTTATGCACTAACAACTCAATTCTGACTCCTAGCAACCCTATGAATCAGCAATTTCCGACATACTTTATTGTTTACTTAATTTTTCAGGTTTCACAAACTCAGGGCTGTAACTTCCTTTACTGAATAAGGAAGTCATGTATAGCTGCATCTAGCTAGTTGAAAGTAACAGTATATTTAATGTACCTAGTAAAGCAGGGGTTCCCGATCTTTGGTCCTCCAGGTGTTTTGGACTTCAGCTCCCACAATTCCTAAAAGCTGGTAAATGGGGCTAGGATTTCTGGGTACTGAAGCCCAAACCAACTGGAGAACCAAAGATTGGGAACCACTGTGGTAAAGAAACAAAGGATGGTTTCTTTTTCTTGACTGCAAAAATTAAGTGACAGGGCAGCCATGCTCTTAAGCAGAGTGAAGCATTTGTCTCAGGCCTCTTCTACATTGCCATATAAAATCCAGATTATTTGCTTTGAACTGGATTATATGGCGGTGTAGAAGGGGACCCAGTCATTCCAGACTTCCTTGAGAGAACAATTTGTTTCCTGCATAGAAATCTCAATATACATATAAAACCAGTACATCAAGGGAAAAACTATAACATGTGAAGCATTTTTCCTTCTGAAAGTGTAATTTGGTTCACCCTCTCTTATAGGCCATTGTAACATGAAGCATTGATCAATATATGAGCCACTCCACTGACTGATTCTTTCCAAGAAGTTTCACAAAGACTTACCAGTAATAACACCAGCAGTAAGATAGACTTGAATTATATTATAAGCGAAGGAAGCCAAGATCATTCCAGCAGAAGCAAAGAGGCCTCCAACTAGCATAACAGGACGACAACCAAACCGATTGACACACATACTGCACAGGGGACCTGAGCAAAAAGACACAATATTTAGAGATTTGTTTGTGTAACTGTTTCAACCAAGAATATATTATCTATCAGTTAAATTCTGCATGTTTCTTTAATTGCTTCTTACATTATAGCTGTATTAACACTGGAAGTTTCAAATCAATAGTATTGTTGTACAGACACTATTTAAAACATTTGTTTTCATCTGTCATAGGCTAATATTTACCCATTACCTACCGCAATATATGAGACTTATTTTAATTGAGTCTTTATGAGACTTACCTATATCTTTTATCAGATTTACTGCTGCAACTGAACTGATTAAAGCTAGAAAATCATGGGATAGAAAATGTTTTGTGGGTCTTGTGATAGAACATGTAGGAACCTAAGGTACTTCAGCGTACTTCAGAACTGTCTAGGATGGCTAAGGCCAATGACAATTATTGTTCACCAATATCTGGAGGACCACAGTCTTTCAAACCTGTCACAATTAGTGGTCTTCAGCATCTCTTCTCTTGTGTTTGGAACTTGCCTCTGGGTCTACAACAGTTTCACCTGGAAGCCAGGTCAGAAGAGTGGTCAAATGGGCTTTTAGCTGGATCACTTCAATTGAACAAGGTCTTAATCAAATGTGATGAGCAGCATAGATGTCTTGAGACCCTTCTACACTGACACTAGAATGCAGTTGGAAGCTGGCTGGAGGCTGTGGTGGCCACAAAACACACTCCACCAATGTGTGCTGCAGTGTACATCAAAGATGATACAGCACTTAAAAAAAAATCCCAGGAAAGTCTGAGTTCAACTACAAAATGTACTGCAGCAGGTACCAGTGTATCCCAGATCCATAGCAAAATTGGCTCTATAAAATGCGGGGCGCATTGTAGACACCTTCCCCTGCTGAAGCTCAGCAAAGAATCTTAAACAAGAGCTACTGAAAAATGCCCCAAAGGTATAGCTGGGCAGGAGGTCACCTAGGCCATTACACATCTCACCAAACATCTTTCCTATCTTTCCCCATCATGGCCTATGGAAGCAAAGTGTAAACGGCTAAAATATGTGGAGAAATATTCTTGATCATTGTCCATGCTTATTGTTTTAACCAATATAATTTTTACCATTGCTCATATTGTATATGCAACCAATATGCTCATAAATTCCACATCTATAGATTCAAACTTAAGCAAAAACTAAAACACGGTGACTGTGATAGTAAGGTATCCCTTCACATTGCCAAACACTCTGTTACTGTTGCTCTATATATTTTCCAGAAATGAAGTTAAATTGTTAAATTTCTGTTAATTTTCTTCCCATTGTTGTTTGTAAACTGTAATCTTATTCATTATCACAGTGTTCCATATTTTCCATTGACTATGACATAATAAAGTGGGTAACAAAGCAAATATCAATGCTTTTTCAGGCTATGTGTGTGTGTGTGTTTCCCAGTCCTAATTCACCATTATTGTTCTCTACATTACAACTTCATCTTTCTACTTTAAACCAACATACCACTTTGAACACACCAGTCTTGCATTAGTTAAGGTGTTAAGTCATATCAGGCCTGGCTTATATTTGCCTAAGATGTCATTGGAAGATACCAAGGATGATCAGGTGGCGCTAAGAAAAACATCTTGCCTGGACACCCAGAGAACCAGTGCCAGTTAGAGTTTATAATACCTGGCCAGATAGACCAATTAATAAACTCAACACAAGGCAGCTTTCTGCATCCCTATGTCCTAATTTCATAAAATCACCAAATTACATACCAAAGAAAAATGGCTTACCTGTTCCATAAAGCATGGCCAATAGAATAGAGGAGATCCATGCTGTGTCGCTATAGCCAACATTGAATTCCCTGATAAGCTCCTTAAAAAAGACACTCATTGCCTTTGGAAAGGCATAGGAGAATCCAGTGATTACAAAGCACCCGAAGAGGACAGCCCATCCCCAACCCCCATCTGGGGCTTTAACTCCTGCTGGACCATCATCAACCACCACAGCTCCCATGGTGAAAGTTTAGAGGGTTCCTAAGAAAGAATAACAACAAGAAAAAGTGGTTATATCATCCATAGGCAATAGAACAAAGAACTGATTCTTTATTTCATGATAAAAGATTATATGAAAACAACAGATGCTAAATAAAATGCCTTATCATATGACGGAATTATCCATGCCTGGGTAACACATGGATTAGCTCCCTCTGTCAGCTCCATCTCCCCATGCAGGGACAAGATAGAAGCCTCCCACAAAGATGGCAAAACATCAAAACATCTGGGCATCCCCTGGGCAACGTCCTTGCAGACGGCCAATTACCTCACACCCGAAGCAACTTGCAGTTTCTCAAGTTGCTCCTGACACACACAAACACGCACACAAATATCCATGCCATAGCAATTCTAGTTTTTATATATGGTTATAAAAGCTAGAGAGTGAAGAAAGCTGACAAGGAATACTACCTGCTTATTTGAAATGTGGGCTGGAAAAGAATTCAACAGATACAATAGGCAAATAAAAAAGATGAATGGGTCAAAGATCAAATAGGCTTGAATTCTCTATAAACCAAGGGTGCATCCACACTGTCTACTTAGGTCAGTTTGAAACAGACATAGGAGAAAGCAGTTTCACTTTGCATATGATTAGATTGGTAATCCTGGAACTAGTTCTAGTATTACCCGTGTAATCATCCTCACACCAAAGTTGCTTTTTCGGTTTGCTTTTTTTCTTTGAATTCCCTCTTGGGTATCTGCACAGTGATTCGCCCTCCACAGCAGACTTTGCTGTGGCTTATAATAGAGTGTTCTGATGCACATTTCAAGGCTCTGTTTTGGAGAATTCCCCAACTTTGGTTATCTTGGTTTTAAAAACTTAACATGTGCTGCCGTATACTTTTGCAGCATGTGATGATGTCTAGGTGCCGCTTTTTCAAACTTCATTAAATGGTCAATGTAGATGGTGATCAAGATGACTAAACTGAGGCTGTAGTTCTACGACATCTAAAAATGGCGTGACTCATTGAAAAATATAATTTTGCTTGGTAAAATGGAAGACTAAACTATTTATTTATTTATTTAAAACATTTATATTCCACCCATCTCATCCCAAAGGGGACTCGGGGCGGAGCACAACATACAAGCGGCAAACATTCAATGCATGGATTGATTTCATTTAGGAAGTCCTGATCCTAAGCTCACAAGAGCTAAACGGGACAATTGATGACTGAGAATAATGAAATCAATGTCATAGGGTTGCCATAACTCAAAGTTTATTTGCCAGCATATAATGACAATATATACATGGGGAAGGTACCTTTTTCTTATATGAAGAGTTCTCTGTTTGAGGAGATAGATTTGCATAACTACCAGAAATAGTTATAAAAATATATTTATACAGTTGTCTATATGCATATAGATCAGAAAGAAAGATCTGTGTTGAGTAGGATTTCCATTAGTTATAACAAGTATATTTGGATAGGAAAAGATACAGTAATGCAAGACACATTAGGGCACCGCTTTTTGAAATAATATATTGTCTCCATTACAAATACTGGAAATAGAAACATCCAAGTCATTTTATATATGTTCTATATTTTAGAGAGTCATCTTTTATTTTAGAGACAATCATGTGGAAATATGCAAAATACAGTACCATTAGAGAAGGTTAGTGGTTTTGTTGGTATCTTCTCTAAGTTATGAAACAAGAATAATTTCAAGTACACACACACAATCCCTGTTAAAAAAAGAGCACCTCTGATAAATAATCTGTTCATAGACCTCTCTGTATCTATTATTTCTGATCTCTGCAGTCAAACTTCACCCTTCTCTTTTGAACCATTCTATTACCCTGAACACAGAGACCTTACCTGATTCAAGATTATTATTATTATTATTATTATTATTATTATTATTATTATTACTTTATTTGTACCCCGCTAGCATCTCCCAAGGGATTCGATGTGGCTTACAACAGGCCGGAGCCCAACACAATACAACAATACAGTACATAGCAAATAAAACAGTTAAGCAGAAAACAATAAACAATAGCAATACAACAAGACATTATTAAAAACTGAGCCGGCCGGAGTGGGGTACAGGATTAAAAAGTGCTGAAGTGTCGGAGGGATATGGGATTAAAATATAAGTGCAGTGTGCGGTGAGGGTGATCTTGGTTCTACTAAAGTGCTTCTGGGATTTGGTAGTGGGGTTCCTAATCTGAAAAGGCACGTTGGAACAGCCAGGTTTTCAGATTCTTTCTGAAAACCGCCAAAGTAGGGGCTTGTCTGAGATCTTTCGGGAGGGCATTCCAGAGGCGGGGGGCCACCACAGAGAAGGCCCTGTCTCGCGTCCCCACCAAACGCGCCTGTGACGCGGGCGGAATCACGAGCAGGGCCTCTCCTGATGACCGGAGTGAGCGTGTGGGTTCGTAGACAGCGATGCGGTCACGCAGGTAGGGTGGTCCCAAACCGTTCAGGGCTTTGTAGGTAAGCACCTGCACCTTGAATTGGGCTCGGAAAATAAACGGCAGCCAATGGAGATCCTTAAACAGGAGGGTTGACCTCTCTCTGTAAGGAGCCCCAGTTAACAGCCTGGCCGCTGCCTGGAATTTCCGAGCCGTTTTCAAGGGCAGCCCCACGTAGAGCGCATTGCAGTAATCCAGTCTAGAGGTGACTAAGGCATGGACCACCCCGGCCAGATCAGCCTTAGCGAGGTACGGGCGCAGCTGGCGCACAAGTCTCAGTTGTGCAAAAGCCCTCCCAGCCACCGCCGACGCCTGAGCCTCAAGCGTGAGCTATGAGTCCAGGAGGACTCCCAAGCTGCGGACCTGTGGCTTCAGGGGGAGTGTAACCCCGTCCAACACAGGTTGCCACCCTATACCCCGGTCTGGTTTGCGATCGACCAGGAGGACCTCTGTCTTGTCGGGATTGATCTTCAGCTTGTTCGTCCTCATCCAGATGGACACAGCGGCCAGGCACTCGTCTAGCACCCGAGAGGCCTCCTTGGAATTAGGTGGAAAAGAGTAGTAGAGTTGTGCGTCATCTGCGTAGAGATGGCACCCAACTCCAAAACTCCGGATGACCTCTCCCAGCGGTTTCATGTAGATGTTAAAAAGCATGGGAGATAAAATAGAGCCTTGCGGGACCCCACAGGTCAAAGGCCAGGGGTCCGAGCAGGCATCTCCCAGCTTCACCATCTGGGTTCGTCCCTCCAGGAAGGACCGGAGCCACGACAGAACCGTGCCCCCGAGACCCATCCCAGAGAGGCGACCCAGAAGGATACCATGATCGATGGTATCGAAAGCCGCTGAGATGTCCAAGAGAACCAGCAGGGTCACACTCCCCCTATCCAGTCCTCTACGGAGGTCATCCACCAAGGCGACCAAGGCTGTCTCGGTGCCATGACCAGGCCTGAAACCAGACTGTGCCCGATCTAGGTAATTGATGTCATCCAGGAAGCCCTGGAGCTGGAGGGCGACCACCCGCTCCAGCACCTTACCCAAGAAAGGAAGGTTGGAGATCGGTCTGTAATTGTTCAGCACCGTAGAGTCAAGGGAAGACTTTTTAAGGAGTGGGCGAACCACAGCCTGTTTCAAATTAGATGGAAAAATCCCTTGCTCCAACGATGCGTTAATGATCAACACAAACCAATCAACCAACCCCTCCTTGGCAGATTTAATAAGCCAGGATGGGCAAGGGTCTAGAGCCGAAGTGGTCGCCCTCACAGCCCCAAGAACCTCCTCCACGGTCTCAGGAAGAACAAGCCGAAAAGAATCCCACAAAATTGGACAAGCAGATGCCTCGGTCACCTCCTCTGGCACTGCGATGAAATTGGAGTCGAGCTCAAGACATATCTGGGCAACTTTGCCTGCAAAATGGTGTGCGAAATCACAACACCGAGCTGCTGGGTCGTCAGAGATCTCCTCCGCCACAGGTGGGTGAAGGAGCTCCCCAACAACCCGAAACAGCTCTGATGACCTATTTGCTGCAGACGCTATCCGGGTGGTCGTGAAAGACTCCCTGGCCGCCCGTATAGCCACGGAGTATGCCCTAAGAGAGGCCCTAGCCCGTGCTTGATCAGACATGTCCCGAGATCTCCTCCACTTGCGCTCTAGCCCCCTTCTCGTGTGCTTCATCACAGCCAACTCCTCGGTAAACCACGGAGACGGCCTGTCATGACGCAACGAGATGGGGCGTTTGGGAGCGATCGTGTCTATCGCCCTGGACATCTCCTTATTGTAGATAGAGCCTGGCGTCAACAGGATCTCCAGGCTCTATGGCAGGAAGAACCCCAAGATTCCTCAGGAATCCATCTGGATCCATCAGTCTCCTGGGGCGGACCATCTTAATTTGTCCTCCACCCCTGCGAAGGTTGGGGGTCGCAGCGAGCCTAAAGCTGACCAGAGAGTGATCAGACCATGACACTGGAAGGATGTTTTGTTCTTCCACTCTGATCATTCCACTGTCCGCCACAAAAACTAGGTCAAGAGTATGTCCAGCCTGATGGGTGGGTCCTGATATAATTTGTGACAGTCCTATGGTCGTCATGGCGGCCATAAAATCCTGAGCTGCGCCAGACAAAGAGGTCTCAGCATGAATGTTAAAATCTCCCAGCACCACCAAGTGCTGGGAGACCAGGGCCGAATTAGAGACCACCTCCGCTAGCTCAGGCAGGGAAACTGCTGGGTTGCGGGGAGGGCGGTACACCAGCAGAAACCCCACACTGTCACGGTTCCCCACCCTCAGGTGGACACACTCAAACCCAGGTGCTTGCGGTACAGCGCATCTAGTCACGGCGATGGATTGCTAGAAGACCACTGCGACCCCTCCTCCCCGCCCCCCTTGTCTGGCCTGCTGATGCACCCCGAAGCCCGGTGGGCACAGCTGAGTGAGATTTACTCCCCCCAGCTCATCCAGCCAGGTTTCCGTGATGCATGCCAGATCCGCTCTCTCATCCAGAATCAGGTCCTGAATGGCAGGGGTCTTACCATTAACGGATCTGGCATTGATCAGCAGGACCTTAAGACCGAGGGGACT